CTAGAGTGGGAACGTCACGCTTCCATCGCAAAACCATCGAAACCCAGGGCACCCTGAAGGCAAGGAGGGTGTTTCTTGGCATGGGCCTCCACTGTACTATTGCCCTGCCTCTCCCCTGGCACCAGGCCGCAAGGCGGGGGTGCCGAGGGCTTCAGAGCACTGCACGGGCACTGCCCGCGACATCCTATAGAGGGCAAACAATCCGCCCCCATAACAACCACCCCGCCAAGCGAGGCGTTTAGTAAATGCACCCACAGAAAGAGTCGAGCAGGGTAGGGCTGTGTAGTAAACGCCCAAGGCCGTTTAGCAAGCGCCATCAATCGGGTCCGGTTGTTTCTTCTTCCCATGATTACAAGAGGCCTCGAAAAAATGAATCGACTTCGGCATGCGCATGAGCTCTCGGCGGTCCACACAGAGTTCTTGCGTCGACGCTGGACCTCGGCGCCCGAGGCGCAGGATCCGCGGTCTTTTCGCGGCTGCTCCCCCCAATATCGTCCAAACCATCCCCATCCCCACTGGGCCATGGTGTCCAAGAGCGAACAACGGGCAACCGTCAGCGTTCTGCGCGGACCGCCGAAAGGCTACATGCCGTTTTCTCTTCTACGAGACTACAGTCGGGGTGCCGAAGAAGGAACCCTGTTCGTGTGGGAGGGGCTCAGTGTTCCTGAGCTGTTTTGCAGGTTGCCTTCGGTTTCCCTAAGGTTTTCATGAACGATGCTGGATTACACCCTCTCGTCCCAAGTCCCCTCCTCAAACGCCCCTGCACGTCCTCTTCTAACAAGTGGCGCCCACTTTCAAACACCAGCGAAATTGGGCCTGCTGGGCGAGGATCCCATCCTGCAGCGGAACTGCCTCGCATCTTTCTGCCGCCTTGTCATAAACGCAGAGAAGCACTGGTCATACAACTCAGCGAGGTTGTCCAGCGATGCCCCCCTTTCGAAGAAGGACCGCCCACACATCCGCATACTTGCTGCACCCAGGAGGTGCCACTATGGTCATGGACTCCGAGGAAGCGTCAAACGACAACTCCACTTCGAAAAAGAATCGCAATGAATCCGTACAATGCCGCGTGCGCTGCAATCCCGGATCCGTCAACTCAACAAATCTCGGGCGAGAGCTCCGCCTTTCAACAAGAAACAATCCTCCATCCGTCTACACGTTGCATCAAAGAAATCGAATGCGCGTGGCGCTGAGGCGACAGCCCCAATTTTGGAAACAACTGTGCGCATGGCTGTAAGGCGAGGACGCCGTTTTGGAAACGACCCCCCCTTCCAGGAATGCAACTGTTACGAACGTTGAATGCGCCTGTGCGCAGCGCTGTGGCGAAAACCACATTTTAAAAACACCCCTCCATCCTTGTAGGCGTTGCGCACTTTCACTTCGAATGTGCGCTGCGCTACGGCGGGAACCGCACTGTGAACACCACTGCCTTTCCATGTTTGACACTGCTGCGAACTGTTAAACGAATATGCGCGGCGCTACTGCAAAAATTATATCTCAAACGACCCATCATCCATCTGTAAAGCTAGGGCAATCTCAACGAACATTCGCGGCACTGCAACGATATTCACATGTTGCACCTCGTCAATCCGTGAAGCTGCTGCAAACTTGTAGTACGGATGTGCGCGACGCTCGAGCGTGAAACAGATTTGGATAAATGCCCCATCCATCAACAAATCGGCTGCGAACTTGTAAGACGAATGCGGGCGGCGCTATAGCGACAACAAGATCTTGAACACGCCACCCCATCCCCCTGTGAAAATGCTGAGAACTTCTAAGACGAATTGGCGCGGCACTGAAGCGAAAACAACCATTCCATTCCATTCGTGGAACTGCTGCAGAATGAGGCAACAACACGCGGCGCTGAGGCGACAACCACATTTGGAAAACCACCCCCCCTGTATCCGTGAACCTGCTGCACATGCGAATCTTCACGATCGGAAAAAGAAAGAGAGAGAGAGAGAGAGAGAGGAAAAAAAAAAACAAAAAAAAAAACAAGAGAGAAAGAGAAACACCAAGAGAGAAAGAGAGAGAGGGAGTCTCAAGCGAAACGTCTGGCCCGCCCTGGCGACACACCTCGGGGTGCGACCGGGAGGGGCCACCGTATAAGGATGAACGGGACAATAGAACGCCGCCACCAGCCGCCGCAGCGGCTGCGGCTGTGGCCCGCCCGGCGGTCCGCCGCGGAGGGCGGCGGCGGCGCCGCCGCCGGCGCGAGCGGAGGCGCACTGCAGCGCGCAGGCGGCCGAGCTCGAGCCGCGGAACACCTCGCGGGCCCCACCGGCGAGGCGGAGGGTTTGTAGGCGAGCGCGTTCCACTACTCGCAAAAAGTAAATACTCGCAGATGGCCTGGATGCCCCGCGGGGGGGTCTACTGTACATTACATCGAAGCAGACAGGTTTTTTTTTTTTTTTTTTTTTTTTTTTTTTTTTTTTTTTTTTTTTTTTTTTTTTTTTTTTTTCTGGGCGTTTGCGAGTAGGCACTTTGCGAGTAGTGGAACGCGCTCGGTGAGTTTGGGGTTGTTGGGGTCGGAGGGGGCGGGGTGTCGGAGCGGCTGGGGGCCGGGGAGGGGGGCGGGGGGGCGGGGCGTCGGAGCGGGGGGCGGGGCGTCGGAGCGGGAGGGCGAGCGCGAAGCGGAGCGCAGCGGCGGGGGGGGGGGCGGAGGTGGTGGTGGAGGGCTCTGGGGCGCGGGGGGGGCGGAAGGCTCCAGGGGAGGCCGGGGCGGTCCTGCGGAGCTGTGCGGGCCAAACCGACCAAACTGCAACGTCGGCGCGCGGGCCGCCATCGGCTTCTGCAGGGTTCTGCCAACGGTGGGGCGCCGAGTGCTCGGGGAGGGCACAAAAGGCCACCCTGCCCACAGGTGGCGATGCAATGCTCACTGGCGCGGGCCCCAAACAACAAAATATTGCATGGGCTACGACGAGGCGCAATCATGGTGGCGCGCTCTCTCTTTCTCTCTCTCGCTCTCTCTTTCTCTCTCCATATATAGATAGAGAGAGTTGAATAGGCGGTGCAGCTTATGTGGTGCGATTTGGTCTCACAGGCCCCCAAATTGCAATGTGATGGCGGAACTAAACTGGGCGGCGACATCGACGATGACGAACACAACGACGATGTCCATGACGAGCGACTGCGGCAACCATGACGCTGGCGATTATGACGACGATGGTGCTAGTGAGGACGATGGGCACCTGCGCGCGCGCAGACAAGGGCGACGGCATCGACGATGACGATAATGACGGCGGCGGTGGTGATGACGACGACGGTGACGGTGATGATGATGGTGATGGCGACGATGATGATGATGATGATGATGATGATGATGATGATGATGATGATGATGATGATGATGATGATATTGGTGATGGTCATGTTGATGGCGATGATGTCGGCGATCATGACGGCGTGTCCGATGGACTTGGGCTGATGAGGGTGATAGAAATGTGCGTCTGCATGCATCTAGAACGCTTGCCGCACTATTTTGGAAAACCGTTGGGTGTCGTATGATGTAAGCGCCGCTGGCTTTCCGAAAGCGTTGGCGTCCGCTTTCGCTGCCGACCACGAACATGGCTTGAACACCTCAGTGGTAATATTGTTGAACAAACCTGGTCTTATGATTTCGACGTGCGCCCGCCGACGCGCGTGCGCGTGGCCCGCAGGTCTCCTGTGTCAGAATCGGCGGGCGCGCGGTGGTTGTTGAACGTTCTCGGCATGCGCGCTCGCCCAACACGGTTGGTCTCAGTGGACACGGCGGATGAATACCAGGGCCCTTCCGATGATTTCAACGAGCGCGCGCGCAAAAAACTCTGGCCACTTTGTGCGCGTTTGGACAGCTATGTCGCTTAATGGTGGACAGCCCTTAGCTGTTGTGTGGTCTTGCGGCGGCCCGCGCACGTGCCCCGCGTCGCGCGCGCGGCACGGGCTGCTTCGAGCAAGAAGCACGTCTCATACTAATGCAACTGCCAAGATATGAACAGGGGGCCGATGCTGGCCTGGTAGGCGCGCGACACCTTGAGTTGACAAAAAATAAAGCCCGTGCGGAATGCAAATGTAATCGTACGTGCACGGCTGCCGTTCGTCCAGGCGTCGGCAGCAGGGATGCATCGCAAGTCCTCACATGATATTTATAAATACATATATATATGAATATATCCCATACACGCGTATACATGTGCAAATGCATGGTGCGGCATTATATGCGCATGCGCGTGCGGTGCAACATGCGGGATGCAAGCTATGCCGTGAAGTCCAATGCTCGTCGTCGCTACCAAATACCGAGCAAAAGCCCGACCCACCAAAACCTTGATGACAGATATCAACTGGCGAAATGACGCGATCACCCTTCGTATGCAGATCCGTGAGTCGGGAGGGAGGTGGCTGATGATGAGGATGCTGATGATGATGGTTGCGCTGAGTACGGGGGCGACGACAACAACGAGGACCATGACGTCAAGATGATGACGACGGTCAAGATGATGACGACGATGACGGCGGTGGCGATGGAGATGACGATGATGATGATGATGATGATGGTGATGATGATGATGATGATGATGATGATGATGATGATGATGATGATGATGATGATGCGAAGCAAGAAGGCACTGATGACGCTGGCGATGATAGGAACTATGGTAATGACGAGGATGATGAGGACGCGCGCGCATAAACTTGAACAGCCTGAAGGCATGGTTCGAAAAGCCAGTGAGCTTTCACATGTATTTGAAAAACTCTGTGTTGGAATGCTGGGGACAATAATGGTTTTGGAAAAGATCCGGAGTGCGCGAGCGAAAACACGCAAGTTTGGGCCCCATGGTAGGCGTTGACACATATGGCGGATGCGCGATGATTGATGAATATGTTCGGCATGCGCGCGCGAGAGGGCCCTAATAGCCTCATTCAACTGAATGGAGAAGTCCTGACGGTGTTCTTGTGATTTCAGCGAGTGCGCGCGCGATCAGAAATTTGCCAACTCCTTGTTAAGCGAACCAGACATGTTCTACATAGCTTGTTGAACCTATTCAAATCGAAACTGTGGTATACTCCAGTGATGTATTACATGCACGCGCGGGGTCGCTCACGTGTGGCCCGCTTTGTACTGCTTGTCGCAGGGTCTGAGAACACGCATTTGTTAGATCAGCGCGCGTGCGCCCCATCTGACAAGGAGGAGGGGGCAAAGATACTGGTCTGAACGGCATGGAGCTGCAGTCGCACATGACACGTGTGAAAAACAACGCGCGGAGGAGAGCGGATAATCCTTGCTTCCAGGGGGGGGTCGGATATGAATATCATGCAACAACATACTTTCTTATGGGCATCCGCGCGTGACCACCTCCCCGCACGCCATAGTGGCCCCCGTCCTTCTCATCGCGTCCCCTGGCATCCTCCTGAGCAACCTCCTACCTCTTGCTCTTAACGTCCTCCTCCTCCTTCTCCTGTTCCTCTTCCTCCTTTACCTCCTGACCTTATCCTCCTGATCCGCCTGCTCCTTTTCCGATTCCTCCTTCTCTCTTTCTTCTTCCTCCTGATCCTCCTGATCCTTGTGTTCCTCCCCCCCTCATCCCGCAAGTCTTCCCATGTGTTCGCTGCTCCTCCTTCTCCTCCTAGCCGAGCGTGGCATAGCACAGCAGTGCACATCATATCGCAGTATCGCAGGTTACCCCCGAAACAACACCTGCGCTAGGAACCAACGCGCTGAAAGTAGAGCGCCCCGACGAGTAATGGCGGGCAGCGCTCCTGTTCACAGGGCAGCTGCGAGACCCCTGCAGGCGGGCCTGAGGTTGGGAAGCGACTCAAGCCTCCTCTTGATGCCTCCGGCCCGACTAATCTCCGGATGCCAGAGGCAGAAGAGAAAGCCTCGGAGCAGTCATCGGGCCAGAGGGCCTCCTCTGGATGCCTCCGGAAGCTTCCATACCTGAGCAGATGCCCCCCAGAGGTTGCCGGAGGGCCTCCTGGAGGCCACCAGGAAGCCCGAAGTGGTGCCCGGAACGCCCAGAGCCTCGACTTCGCGGCGCGCGCAGAGGGGGGGCCGCGAGGGGGGTGGTCTTCTGAGACGAAGGATTGCAAAAAAACGAAGGATTGCAAAAAAACGAAGGATTGCAACGAAGGATTGCAAAAAAAAGATTGCAAAAAAACCTTCGTTTTGGTGCAATCCTTCGTTTTTTTTTTTGCAATCCTTCGGGCAGGTGGCCTTTTAGAAGCCCTCGGGGCGGGGCGGCCCAGAGGAGCCCCGGCCTTGTGAGAAGGCCCGGGTCCCCGGGAGGCCATCCCCCTCTCGCGCCACCTCCCCCCGTGCGCGCCGCCTCTCGCCTATGTGCACTCGCCACTGGCTAGAGCGAAGGCCTCCCACATCCAGGCTCATCGATCGCTCGACTGGATGCCCGCGTCCGGCGGAAGCGCCCTCCCCCCGGGGGCGGGTCCGCGGGGGACGCGCCGCGCCCAAGAGGAGGCGGCGAGCGGCGGCGGCACGACCGCGCAACCCGAGGCCGCCCCTCGACGGACCCGGAGGGCCTCCGGCTCGTGCCGTCCCCTCCTTCGGCGGCCAGCCTAAGGGGGGAAGCGAGAGGGGGCAGGGCTTCTCGGAAGGCGGCGGGGCTGCTCAGCAGCCCTCGGCGCCTCCCGAGGAGCCGCCCGCGGCCTGCGTCTTCGGAGGGCGCTTCGAGCACCTGGCAGAAGGCCAGAGGCCTTCCGAGCCCTCTGAGCAAGCAAGCCCCCTCCGACTCCCACCCCAGGCTCGCCGCCGAGGGACGCGGGCGCCTCCTCCGAGTGCCCAGGGCGCCATGGAGGCATTGCAGATGGAGCAGGTTCCAGGGTGGAGAGGCGAGGCACGAAGACAGCTGGGGTTGTTCTCAGCCCTCGTGACAGCTGTAATGATGATGATAATGATACTGATACTGATAATGATAATGATGATGATGATGATGATGATGATGATGATGATGATGATGATGATGATGACGATGATGATGATGATGATGATGGTGATGATGATGCTGGTGATGATGGTGGTGAGAATGGTGACGATGACGATGATGTTGCTGTTGCTGTTGCTGATGATGATGATGCTGGTGATGATGGTGATGGTGATTGGTAGATTGTGGTGATGATGATGCTGATGCTGCTGATGATGATGAGTATGAATGATGGTATGAATGATGATGTCGGTGGCAATCATGATGGTAATGCTGATGACGATGAGGGTGATCACAGCGATCGTGGTGATGATGGTTGGCTGACGATATATACGGGATGAGTATGATGATGCTGCGGATGCTGATGCTGATGCTGATGCTGACGGTGATGCTTATGATGATGATTATGATGAAGATGAAGATGAAGATGAAGATGATGATGATGATGATGATGATGATGATGATGATGATGATGATGATGATGATGATGATGATGATGATGATGATGATGATGGTGATGACGATGATGGTGATGACGGTGACGGTGACGATGATGATGAGGAGGAGGAGGAGGGAAGAGCTGGGCTCGCCACCGACTCCTTCCTCACTCTCCTATCGACCCGTCCCCGCCCTCGACCCTCAGCCCCTCCAAAACGGGGGCCGCCTCCAGCTCCCGCTGCAGCTCCGCCACCCGCCGCAGCGCCAGCGCGCGCTCCGCCATGCACTCCTCCACGGGTGCCTCTTCAAGAGACCTGGGGCCCCGAGACGCCAGGAGTCCCTGCACCGTGCGGCCAGATCAAGAGGATGCTCATGCTGCTCCCATCGTAAGGAAAACATCCCAGAAATAATTTCGAGCACCCAGAAAAGTGTCGAAACAGTGTCGAACGAGTGTCGCCTCCCAGGCCCGACACGTGAAAACCCTCAAGTTTCGGTACTTTCCTGGTGCTCGAAATTCTCTCTGGTGATCAAGGCTACAGTAAGTTAGCACATCATAAGAGGATGCGCGTGCGGATGCGAGGCCCATGGACCGGTGGAGCGGCAAAACAAGACAGGCATCAACTTCTGGAGGTCCGTGCCGGGCCGCACCGACGCTGGCCCGCCCTGCCTCCGCCCCGGCGCCGCCCCTGGCGCACTCCGCGCGCCAGGGAGGGGGGGGGCCCAGCACGAGGAATCCGCGCGGACCCCCCAAAATTACAAGCTTTCGTAAGAAACTTGTTTCGTCAGCGGCGAGGCGGCGAGCTTCGCTCCAGCGAGAAGCTAGACAGGGGCACGAATGAGTTTTTTCGCAAAAAAGTTGAAGCCGAAGTTGGAAAACCGTCACCCATGGCTACGGGCTAGGACGGGCCGAGAAGCAAGGACACAACAGCACACCTGGAAAACTGCTCATCCTCATGACGAGGGTTGACTGTTCGGCGAAGCTGCCGAAAAAAATGGAACAAACGACGAGGACAGGGAAACGTCAATCGCACAATCTATTGCGCTCCGGACATCGCAAACAACTGTGATCAATAAGACAAAACAAACGGAAGCACGACAACAAAAACAAGCGCAGAATCGGACAACAACGCTGACAAGAAGCGAATCTTCTCCAGTGCGGGCTCAACCTGGAAGCCCTTTCTAGGGAATCGACCTCTATACACCGACGCTTTTTCCGGCCCTGTATTGAAATTTGAACTGGAGAGCGGATCCCGGTGTATACGGGACCCTGGTATATACATGTTTCGTTGCTTCCCCGGGACATCGGGGAAAAAAGTATACACCGCACCATCCCGGGGCCGTCCCCGACCCTCAAAAAGTTCTGGGATTGAAAAACAGCCGGCCACTGGTAATGTACGTGTATCTACGGGACCCACCTCTCACTTCAGGCCTGCACTTCCTACGGGACCCACTTTCAATTCCTACGGGCCTGGTAGTTTCCGACTTTCACCCCAACGTCGTCCCCGACCCTCAAAAAGTCCTGGGATTGACAGGCAGCCCGCCACTGGTAAGGTCCATGATCCTGCTTCCGACTTTCACCTAGAGGAAAAGGAACTATGCACATACACCGATTCTGGCCAGGCCCATCCTGAGCCCAGGATCGGTGCATACGCCCTCCTACCTTGGCCAGGAAGGCATATGCACCGATCCTGGGTCAAGGATGGGCCTTGCCAGGATCGGTGCATGTGCATAGTTCTCTTCGCCCGATCACCTCCCACGGGTCCCACCGCTCAGGCAGGCCTGCGCTGGACCGAGCCGCAACGCTGGATCGGCTCGGAAACGGATGGGGGGCCGGGCTCGGCCCCTGCAGGCCAGGGAGGGGATCGGCTCGTGTCGAGTCGGCTCCAAGCTTGGGTCGGGCGTGCCCACCTACAGGCGGGTTTTTGGACGACAAATGAAACATACAAAAGCAAAAATGCTCAAACGGTATAACAAAGAATGCACAACAGATCGTCCCCACACTGTTTTGTCGACTATGTTCGAACATCCCTCCTGTGGAGGGACAGGCCCGACTTACGTCCAAGGTGGAACCGAATTTTTGGGATTGGATCAGATGGAATCGTGCCGTCGACAGTCCTATCACCAGGTGCTCCAAAGAGGGGCCAGGAAGATCGGGAGGTGCACACTGTGGCCTCCAGGAGGGGGGGCCAGGCAACGTGCTGAAACAGACACAGGGGGCCATCTCAAGTCTGGGAGATTTCATGACCGTGACCACGATCTCAGCACGCAATTTGTCCTCACCCACCGAAAAGAAGGGGCCCCAATACGGTGCGGTGACAGGCCGTGCCATGATCTCGACATCGAAAAGACCGCGCAACACGGGCCGTCATCGCAATGTGTTGGGACCGTGGAGGCCCGTCGGCCGAAACATCCTCGGAGCATGACCCGTGTCGCAAAACTGTGGCTTCACCCCGAATCTCCAACTCTTGTTGGTAAGGCTTCGGGTTGCGCACAAAGGACCCAACCAGGTAGTCACAGCTGGCCTCAACAGGCTCACCGAGTAGGTCCAGTTGGCCTCTCACCAAGCCCACCGTTAGTCCACGTCGGTCTCAACATCATGGCGACTCCTGCGGCGGCGCCCCTGGGGGGTTCCGCGCCCCAAGGTGTTGAGACCGCACCAGACTACTCGGGGGGCCTGTTGAGGCCGACTGGGACTACCTGGCGGGGCTGTCTTTGCGCAGCCCGAAGCCTTAGCAGCTTGGGGGCCCCCAACTCGCGTCCCCGATGGATGTCAGGGCCCCGCTTTCGAGTCATCAGGTCCTCCCTCGGCACAGCCGCGCGCCAAGGCGGCGTCTCGCCTGCGCCTGTGCCTGCCGCTGGCGGCGCCATTCGTCGGCGCGGATGTCGTCGTCGTCGTCGTCGTCGTCGTCGTTGTCGTCGTCGTCGTCATCGTCATCGTCGTCGTCGTCGCCGTCGTCGGCGTCGTCGTCGCAACTGTTCCCCGTCGCCGCCCACTGGCGGTTTAACTAACGGGTCCTGACGGAACCGAGTCCTCGAGGTTTTGTCCTCACCGGACAAGATGGGGCTGCTGCATGGTACTTGTTAGCGAGCGTGGACCCCACACCGCATGTTTCTAGTAATCTTCGGTTTGTCATACCTAGATATATATATATAGATATATAGATATGTATGAACAAAGATTTATGGAGCTATATAGGTGGTACAATATTTGTGGTGCGATATATATATATATATATATATAAAATCCGAAGAGAGTTGTCAACTCCACTATTCGCGCAATCGTTCCACCCACCAACCCGCAACTTGGTGTGCAAAATCCATGCGGCGGCGATTGCGATGAATACTTGGTGCTGACTGGCGCATCGCTGCGGCCGCGCTAGCGCGCACAGGATTGCGCGCAAAGCTGCGAGCTAGTCTGGCGCGACCGACGCGGCCGCTGTGGCACTGACCGAAGACGATTCCTCAGCGCGTCCCGCAGGCCGCGCTGACGCGCGGGCATTTCAACGTGAGTCGGTGACTCGGGCGGGCGCGGTACGATGGCGACGTCGGTAACGGCAGACACGATGAAGATAGTAGCGATGTTGGTGGCGATGATGACGATGACGACGGCAAGGCGAATGACGGCGCCGATGCTGATCACACTGGTGACGATGATGGTGTCCACGTGTCAGTGATGAGTGTTTTGGAAGGATTTCGGCATGCGCGCGCGGCCGACGGGCGCGAGTGACCCGCATGGTATTGTTTAAGCAGGGGTCGTGCCCCCCCCAGCAAGCGCGCAACTGCGTTTGGATAATCGGCATGCGCGCGCGAGGGGCCCGCTTGGTCGCATTTGATGAAACTGTCAGAGACGCAATGCTGTTCGCTTCTATCCACCAAAACACGCGCGTAGATTTTCCCCTGTGTCTTACTTCCGTTCTACGGAACTGGGCCGTGTCTTCGGTCTGGCAGCTATATGGCCGCCATCACCGCCTCGTCGCCGCCTCGTCTTCGCCCGTCCTCTGGGCTGTGTCTTCGGTCTGGCGGCTATGTAGCCGCCGTCACCGCCCCGTCGCCGTCTCGTCGCCGCTGAGGGATCGCACCATAATCCGTTGTGTAAAATGCACGATATGCGCGTTCCCGAAGCCAGAAACATATGTAAAATATACAATGTTCGCGCCCCCGCAGCCATCATCCTTAGCAAATGAAGCCGCATTCGCGTCCCCGAGGCCACAAACCCATGTAGATTACGCCAGTGTTGCATCCCCGAGGCAGCACATCCTTACACATTATACCAGTTTCGCGTCCCCGAGGCCATACACCCTTGCAAATTACAAAAGATTCGCATTGCCGAGGCTAAGAATGCTCCAAGGTGCCTGAAGATGGTTCCAAGACGGCCCAAGAAGGCCCCACGAAGCCACATGATGCTAAAATCGTGGATTTGTCTACGGTGTTTGAAGGATTTCGGCGTTCTCGCATGTTCGGATATCCGGCGCTCCAAGACGGCTCAAAAAGCTCCAAAGACCGCCCCAACACAGCCCAAGACGCCTCTCAGTAGGCCCCAAGACGGCCCAGGAGGCTCCAAGATGGCCAAAGAAGCGCCCCGACAAACCCCGAGAAGCCCCTGGGAGGCCCCAAGAGGCCGCCCAGAGGTCCCAAGAGGCCTCAAGAGGCGCCCAAGACGCGCCCAAGAGGCATCCAAGAGACCCACAAGATACCCCACGAGGCCCCAAGAGGCCCCCCAAGGCTCCCAAACCACCCCCAAGAAGCACCCGAGAGGCTCCCCACGACCCCCCAACACAGAGGCTTTAGACCCACAGGCCAGGCACGGTGGCGGGATGGGCCGAAGGCCACTACGATCTGCCGCCCCCTGTGGTCTTGCCACAGGGGTGCACGGCGTGCTGGATGTTTCAGGTTTTGGTTTTGGTTCTTTTTCTAAAAGAACTCCCCAGTGGGCTTCGGCCCGTCCCGCCGGCCACCCGCAAGTTTCCGAAAATCCATCTGTCAATGCCTTTGTTGCCCCAACTTGGCCCAAGATGGCCTCCAAGACGGCCAAGATGGCCCAAGATGGCCTCCAAGATGCTTCCAAGACGGCCAAGATGGCCTCCAAGACGGGTAAGATGGCTCCAAGATGCACCCAAGACGGCCCAAGATGGCCTCAAGATGGTCTAAGACGGCCCAAAAGGCCCGCAAAAGGCCTCCAAGACGGCCCAAGAGCCCTCCAAGACGCCCTCCAGGAAGGCCCGAATAGGTTAAAATCATTGATTTTCCTTAGGTTTTTCAAGGATTTTGGCATGTTCTTCTTTTCAGCTCTCCGACGGCCCAAGACGGCCCAAGAGGTCCCCAACATCGCCCCAACAGCACCCAAGAGGCCTCCAAGATGGCCCCATGACGGCCCAAGAGGCCCCCAAGAAGGCCCCAAGAGGGCCTCAAGACGGCCCAAGAGGCCTCCAAGACGCCCAAGATGGCCTCCAAGACGGCCAAGATGGCCCAAGATGGCCTCCAAGATGCCTCCAAGACGGCCAAGATGGCCTCCAAGACGGGTAAGATGGCTCCAAGATGCACCCAAGACGGTCCAAGATGGCCTCAAGATGGTCTCAGACGGCCCAAAAGGCCGGCAAAAGGCCTCCAAGACGGCCCAAGAGCCCTCCAAGACGCCCTCCAGGAAGGCCCGAATAGGTTAAAATCATTGATTTTCCTTAGGTTTTTCAAGGATTTTGGCATGTTCTTCTTTTCAGCTCTCCGACGGCCCCAGACGGCCCATGAGGTCCCCAACATCGCCCCAACAGCACCCAAGAGGCCTCCAAGATGGCCCCATGACGGCCCAAGAGGCCCCCAAGAAGGCCCCAAGAGGGCCTCAAGACGGCCCAAGAGGCCAATTCCCTACTTTTCTGCCCAAGACGGCTCCAAGATGGCCTCCAAGTCCGCCCAAGATGGTCCAAGATGGCATCCAAGACGGCCCAAGAGAGTCCAAGAGAGTCCAAGACGAGCCAAGAGGCCCCCCAGAGGCCTCCCAGACGGCCCAAGAGGCTTCCAAGAGGTCCTCCAGGAGGGCCCGAAGAGGCCTGAATCATTGACTTCCCTTATGTTTTTGAAGGATTTTGGAATGTGCTTCTTCTCGGCATTCCGACGGCTCAAGACGGCCCAAGAGGCCCCCAAGATCGCCCAAGAGGCCCCCAAGTGGGCCCCATGACGGCCCAAGTGGCCTCCAAGATGAGCCCCAAGACGGCCCAAGAGGCCTCCAACACGCCCAAGATGGCCTCCAAGACGCCCAAAATGGCCTCCAAGACGGCCCTGGAGCATTCCAAGAGGGCCCCAAATCGGCCCATAGAGGCCCCCCAAACGGCTTCCGACGGCGTCAGACGTGCCAGGAACCCACCAAGATGGCCGAAGTTGGCTCGAAGCTGGCCCAAGACGGCCCAAGAAGCCCCCGCGAGGGCCCTCAGGAAGGCCAGACGAAGCCAAAAACATTGATTGTCCTTAGGTGTCTGACGGATTTTGACATGTCCTTCTTTTCGGCCTTCCGACGGCCCGAGACGGCCCAAGAACCCCCAAAGATCGCCGAAAGCTTGCCCAAGAGGCCTCCAAGACGGCCAAGATGATCTTCAAGATGCCCACGTGTTCCCCGAAGGCTTTCCAAACCGATTCGGGGAACACATGATCCGATGACTTCGCAGGTCTGGCCTCAACGTTCGGCCACATAGGCGCTTCCACAACGGCAGGGGGCGGCGGTGATTCGCCGTAGGCGTCTTCGATAGCGCCAACGTCTCAATATGCGCTGATGATTCCGACCCGCTCCAGCATGATGTTCCCAGATGCGCCAAGGCAGCGCGGAGACGCACCGACGCGTCTCTGATATACCCAAGTCTGAAGGATAGAAGGCTGGCGGCAGGTGGCGAAGCCCTTACGGATATATACATATATATATATATTCACATAGATATAGATCACTATGTGTATATTTAAGTATGTGAATTTGTGTATAATGCATATATACAACTATGGATATACGTATACACATATACACATAAACATTGATACGTATGTCTGCATCCGTATATTGCACAACATGGCTTGCGTCGCAACAACATGCGCGACATGGATTGCTCATCCACGTGGCTGTCACAACATATATTGCACAAAACAGACTGCATCTCATATGTTGCACCGCGTAAATTGCACCGCAAAATATCGCACCACATGGATTGCCCCCCATATAAACTGCAACACGTAGATGGCACAAGTTGCTGTCCGCGTTTGTGGCGCGCTTCTTGATCGCTCACAACATAGATTGCACGACATACGTTGCACCACATACGTTGCACAACCTATGTTGCATCCCCTATATTGTTCAAGAACAAAGTGCACCGCGTAGACTGCACCACAGACATTGCACAACACAGGTAGCACACCAGATATTGCACACCGCATGATACAGAGCATGGATGACTAAGAACTCATTGTTGATCATTGTTTGGGGTTCACGTGATTGAAAAAAAATATCCCGGCAAAGCAACCTAACAGCGATGTGTAGGAGCATATCTGGAAGCATCCCCCTTAAGATTCAGATGAGAATCCAGTTGTAGAGTTCTGCTGTTCTCGCAGTCGTAGTCGCATTCGCGATGACAGTCGCAGTGGCCTGCATTAGCCTCAGCCTCAGCCTCAGCCTGCCTCAGCATCAGCCTCAGCCTCAGCTTCAGCCTGCCTCAGCCTCAGCCTCAGCCTGCTCCTGCATCAGCCTCAGTCTGCCTGCAGCCTCGGCCTCAGCCTCAGCCTGCCTCAGCCTGAGCCTGCCTCAGCCTCAGCCTCAGCCTCAGCCTGCCTCAGCATCAGCCAGCCTCAGCCTCAGCCTCAGCCTCAGCCTCAGCCTTAG